TCAATGTCCTTGAAGGGTTTTGAACACTTGTATCAGCTCCCCTGTTCAAGTAATCTTTCCTGTTCAAGACTGAAAACATTCTGTCCCTTCTGCCTGTCAGTGCGGGACATTCCTTTGGGCCCAGTAATGTATGATGCAGCTCTTCTCTGGACTTATTCCAGAGCAGCAGGATCTTTTTTTATGTCATGCAGAGTATGAAGAGGGCGGTTGAGCGGGCAGCGACTCCAGACAAACTGGGGATTCTTGTCTGGATCACAGTCTCCCGAATGCTGTGGGGAAGGAGCTGGGGCTCCTAGTCACCCGAGCAGCTGCTGGAAGACAAGCGGTTAAAAAGCAGGAGGCAGGGCTTCCTGAGCCTGTCATTATCTGCTCTCTGAGAGAGCAAGCTGCACCAGAGGGGGCCTGGCAAGGAATCCACAGACTGACCGAGCAACTGGACAACGGAGGAGCTCCAGAGCTTTGTGAATAATTTAGAAGTTTCGTGAAAAGTTTCAGAGAAAGACGGGGTGGTTTTGAGGCCAGTAAGCAGCTTAGCTACCTGACATGACATTTCAGGAAGTTGAAGAAGTTAGACAGTAATTCAAACAGGGGCTTAGGCTTTTGTTCTGTCAGGTTTGCGGTTATTTAGGTTTCCTGCACAGTAAACTAAAGGAGCACTTCTCTTTACCTCACAGCTACTTTATACGCTTGTTTTACTCCGACCCGCCTATCAGAGTTCCTGTCCTATGACAGCCCGCTCCAGGGTGTGTCACAGAGGTGACCATGTGCAATTTCAACATCCTTTAAGCAAATTCTGTCCATTTAACAATCTGTTTAACATTCAAGGTTTCACAGACTCTAGAAAACAAAAAACTGTGTACGGTGTGTTTTTAATATTGCTGCAGCTTTTTCAAGCTCGGTGTTTCTCACCTCAAAAATTGCTCTATATTTCTACTATCTGGTTGCAACATTTTCCATTTGTCTGCAATAAATGTCATCTGCCAGGTGTTTGCTCACCCTTGAATTTTGTCTAAATCTCTCTGGACATCCACTGCTTCTTGCACAGTGTTTTTGTGCAGGACCTGAGAGAGAGAGAGACTGTCCTTTTGCATATAGTCTCGGAGAGAGATTTATGGATGTGTATAGTCTGAGTTAAGAATGTTTTTGGAAGCCAGTAAGCAGCTTATCTGTATGGGTACAGATAGTGAGGAAAAAAGTCTGCTCAAGAGTTCGAAGAAGAGCTGTGTTTTGTTTTATGTTTTGGTTTGCATTTGCCTGCATTATGAAAAAAGCACTAGCTCTGCGCCTTACGGCCACATTTGTGTTCGTCTTCTGGGCCCATCTGTGCTCGGTTGCTGCGGTGATCCCTGGTCTGTGGTCTCACAGCCAGTAAAAGGGAACCGCCTTCTTAGCAGAGGTGTGGCGTGTTTGACTGAGGTGCCGAGTTTCCAACACAGACAGGAAACATCAAGGGTTGTCACATTGGTGCCCAAAATGGATCTCTTCTCTGCCCCGATCCATCCTCATGTGAGAGCTACTGCTCTCTGCATACCAGTACATTACCACAATAAAAGGAGACCCAGCAGGTCCAGTTGTGCAACTCAAGGACACACTTCTACAGAGAAGACTGTAATGGAGACACCTGCTGGCCTGAAATCCTACAATGTGCATACTGAGACTGCTCAGAAAGCTCAGACACACTGCAGCAGCAAAGGGTATCTGACATGGAAGCTACAATTTGAGATAACCTTGTGTTGGAACATACAAGGCAGCCTGACAGCACTTTTGGACTATGTTGTGGTGTCTCTTGTATTAAGCACCTTGGTTTGTAAGGTTCAATAACACCTATGTATAAACTGGATAAAAAAAATGAGAAAGACTATTGATACTTAAAAAACTTAAAGTAAAAAACTTAAAAGTAGAAAAAAATCAACAACAAAAACAAAGACAAAGAAGGGTAAATGCATAGAGAAATGATCTTGTTAGTCAATGTTAGAAGCTATGAGCTAATAAAGTCATATCACCCTGTAACGCACAACTGACAACCCACTGAAGCTAAACAGGTGTGAGCCTGGCCAGTACCTGGATGAGAGACCTGGATGAAAAACTAAGGTTGCTGTTGGAAGTGGTGTTAGTGGGACCAGCAGGGGGTGCTCACCCTAGGGTCTGTGTGGGTCCTAATGCCCCAATATAGTGATGGGGACACTATACTGTAAATGGGCACCATCCTTTGGATGAGATGTAAAACTGAGGTCCTGACTCTCTGGGTCATTAAAAATCCCAGGGAGTTTCTCGGAAAGAGTAGGGGTGTAACCCCAGTGTTCTGCCCAAACTTCCCATTAACCTGTACCAATCATGGCCTCCGGTTCTCCTCCCCACTGCTAGCTGCTGTGTGGTGAGTGTACTGTGAGCGCAGTATGGGCTGCTGTCACATCATCCAGGTGGGGCTGCACACTGGTGGTGGAGGAGGGGATCCCCATGACCTGTAAAGTGCTTTGAGTGAAGTGTCCAGAAAAGTGCTATGTAAGTGTAAGCAATTATTATTATTAAGGAATTAAAAGCTATGAGCCAATAAACAGTAAGTTACAAAAATTCTATTTGGCATCTTAATCAAAAGGCCTAGAAGAGTAACAAAGTTTTTATGCTTGTCCTCCTAAATAATTTAAAGTAATCTTTACGTTGTTAAAGTGTTTGACATACCATAAAACTAGACAACAAAGTTTTGAAAAAGCAGAAATGTCAGTTTTTTTAAGGTTGTTTGAAGTTGTTGAGAGTTCTTAAGAGATTTATCACCTCAATTTATACTAATGCTGAAAGCCTTTCGTAAGCATTTCAAAACCTTTGGTCCAGCTGACAGAAACTCAGCTTTTAATACCATCTTCAGATCACTAAGAATAGAGTTCAAGACAGACTTACAGTGCCTTGCGAAAGTATTCGGCCCCCTTGAACTTTTCAACCTTTTGCCACATTTCAGGCTTCAAACATAAAGATATAAATTTTTTATTTTA